TGGATGATAGATGAAGGTGTTGTGCCGGATAAGGTTGCTATGGTGACTATTGTTAATGCTTGTGCAAAATTGGGTGCTATGCATAGGGCTAGACTTGTTCATTATTATATATGCAGGAATAAGTTTTCCTTGGATGTGATCTTAGGAACGGCAATGATTGACATGTATGCTAAGTGTGGATGCATTGATTCTGCGAGGGAAATTTTTGATAGGATGCAAGTGAAGAATGTTATAACATGGAGTGCCATGATTGCAGCTTATGGTTATCATGGACATGGCCGAAAAGCTATTGATATTTTTCATATGATGTTAAATAGTGGAGTATCACCAAATGTTATCACATTTGTTTCACTACTGTATGCTTGTAGTCATTCAGGCTTGATTGAAGAGGGTCTTCGGTTTTTCTCTTTGATGTGGGATGAATTTGCTGTCAGAGCAGACGTCAAACACTATACTTGTATGGTCGATCTCTTGGGCCGTGCTGGGAGACTTGATGAGGCCTTAGAATTGGTAGAGAGTATGGCAGTTGAGAAAGATGAGAGACTCTGGGGCGCTTTGCTTGGGGCATGTAGAATCCATGGGAATATAGACCTAGCAGAAAAGGCAGTGAATTCGCTTCTTGAACTACAGCCCGAAAATGCAGGACATTATGTATTGCTTTCAAATATTTATGCAAGAGCAGGTAGGTGGAAAGATGTAGCAAAGATGAGAGATCTGATGAGCCAGAGGAGACTAAAGAAAGTACCTGGTTTGACATGGATTGAGGTGGATAATAAAACTTACCAATTTAGCACTGGAGATAGGACTCATCCGCGGTCAGAAAAGATTTATGCTATGCTCGAGAGTTTGGGTAAGAAGTTGGAGCTGGCTGGTTATGTTCCTGATACAAATTTTGTGCTACATGATGTTGATGAGGAAGTGAAGCTGGGTATGTTGTATTCACATAGTGAGAAGTTGGCAATTGCATTTGGCCTTATTGCCACTGCTGATGGAACTCCTATCAGAATTACAAAGAATCTGAGGGTTTGCGGTGACTGCCATACATTTACTAAGTTTGTATCAGCTATCACACAGAGGGTGATCATTGTCCGAGACGTAAACCGGTTTCACCACTTCAGGGAAGGGACCTGTTCATGTGGAGATTATTGGTAGTTCATTTATTTGATGGTGATTTTGGTTAGTTACCAAAAGCCTAAAGGAAAAGGTGAGACTTCCTCTCTTGCTTTATCTTGACATCTTTGTCAAACCCATTAGAGTTTACAAAAGAAAGAGATGGAAGAGGAAGTCATTTAATTTGGTCTTTAAATCTGGCATTTTTTTATTCCTGCGATTAATTTCTAACTTGTTCTCTGAGTTTTCCAGATTTTAGTAAGATTTTTAAGTTTTCCTGATTTTAGTAAGGTTTATAAGTTTCCTATTTTATTTAGGTTAGAATTTATGTTTTAGCAAGGGATTTTTTTTAATCCTATTGTCTCTAGGTTTTAGTTTGCTATAAATACCCCTCTCATGTAATTCATTATGGAGTGGAGTTGTTGAGATATTCCAGAGATTGGAGACTATACTTGGTGTGAAGCCAAACCCCTGGAGTGATTCCAGACCTATCCCTTTTGTTCTATTTTCTTTTTTCCATTGTTTTTCGCTTCCGCTAAACTACCTAAATATTCAATTCACCCATATCCTACATCAGGGACTTTAGTCGGTTGTTGTTAATACCGGATATCCTATATTGTTATACTGATGAACCTGAACAATATAGAAGAAATATGATAACCTGGCCTCAGATTTTCTTTTTTTGTTGAAAAAAAAGTCGCTGAAAAGCGAATTTAGAAAGAGGAAGAGGAAAAATCAGTATATTAAATTGCTTATCAAGAGAATACATGGATGATTATATACGTTTCCAGTAGAGCCGGTCCATTGATTTTGGAGGCCCTGTGCAAATATGGATGTCGAGGCCCCATATATACAAGTAGGAAAAAAAAAATCCATATAGAAACAAAATTTTCTAACATGGAAAAACACATTCGGAAAGAGCTTCCCAGAAAAATTTCTTTAGTCACCCTTTCAAATCACAGAGCTGATAAATTGATTTCCCAATTTCAATACTTGGTGAATTCTCATGTGAATAAGGGAGGGAGAAAAGAACTGTGATTTTTGGGAAAGGGCTAAAGCTTGGGTTTTTACAATCCAAAATTTGATGGAAGATGGTGGTACTGGTACTGAAGAGAAATGACTTTATTTTGATGGAGGAGAGTGAGAAAGACTTACTGAAAGAGAAAAGAATATTAGAATGGTTTTGCAGCTTGAGAGTTGGGAAGAGGAAAACACAG